AGCTCCGCCTTCGTCAAATTCTTGAAGAGGGCCAATTTGCCTAACAACTCAACTCGCTCCTTGATCGCCTCCTCCTCAAACTGAGTCACGCACTTGTTGTAATCGTCATAAGTGATGCTCACAGTCTCAACAAATGTGGTGGAGAGGCACGTGAAGTGCCTCGACTGATTCTGTTTCAAAAGTGCCAGGTTGCCGATAGTGCCGCCATGGCCGAGCTCTTCCTGCGTGGAACCAAAAATTTTCTCCACAGACTCCAGGAGATTCCCCTGGAGCCTACACTTGCTTGGATCCAACGTGTACTCTGAGCTCATCATCTGCTTGAACTTGTTGGCACTGAGGTTTGATGTGGTGTTCATAGCGAACTTGTTGAGCAGGTGCGTTATACGAACGGTCTTTCCCAGATTGACTCCTTTGCCTCCAGCTCCAATCTGCCCCAAACTTGACGTGTTCAGCAAATTTTTGCGCAGCTCTGAACCTCCTTCTATTCCACTCGTGATTTTCTTTTGGTGCTTCGAGACCTTCCCCATCAGAATTCCATAAATCTTGTTTCCAGTATCGCCCTGCTTGCAGATAATCGTGTTTGACTCAAAGCACTGAAGAGTCAGCTGCTTGCAAATTCTCTCCCTCATCTGCAACTTCAAGTTCTTCAAGAAATCAAGCTCAGAAAGTAGAGTTGCACAAGTATTGAGATCGACGTCGTGCCTTTTCAGCTGTGGCTTGTTCAGTATCCTTCGGCTCGCCCAGAGCTTTATCGCCGTCAAGAACTGACGGCCCTCGGAAGCAAGAAGGTTGTGAGTCCTCGATATTGTACCCCTGTCCATTGTCAGAATCAGACAGCCGTCTTGCCCAGCAATAACGGACAACTTATGCTTCTCGGCATGGAAGATCATAAGCTCCCCGAAGGAATCAAATGTTGTGAGATAACCGTATTTGAGCCCATACTCCATCAGCGTCGGTCCAGTCTGTGTCACTTTTCGAGAGCGATAGCTGCCTGGGTTTATCATGCTCGCCCGGCCGAACGAGGTGGGAGAAAAAGCTTTGGAAACGTATCTCGACTTTCGCTGGCTTCGGATGCTCTTGGACATGCTCTCCCGCCTTGACATCGCGCGGGAACGTAACATTTGGCTGGCTCTCCTGAGTTGACCTTGATTGGGTGGGCTGTCCCCTCCCTTCTTGCGGTCCTTTGCATGATCAGGAGAGGAAGCGCCAGAAGGCCCCCTTCCCGAGCCACCAGACCTTGGGGGCGAGGTGGCGTACAGCCCTGACAACGCCCTCAGCCTTTCCTCCTCAAGTGCCCTCTGCTCCAAGTCCTCCTTGCTCTCCTCCTTCTCCGCCATGTTGACTCGCAAGAAGGGCATCTGGATGCTGCGCACGCCGCGGAACTTGCTTTGACCTCCACCTTGGTACGAGTCGTCCTCTGCAGGAGCATGAATGTGTTGCGGGGTGGAGATGACCGAGGCTCGCGACACGTGCGAAATCACACTCGCCCTGCTTGCTGTGCTAAGCCTTGCGCCCGCCGTGTGAGGGCGGCTCGACTTATAGGAAGCGGGCGAGGTCTCAAAGTTTGCCATGCTGCTGAGGCCCTCGCCCGAGTCTATCCTTTGCAAGTTCTTCTCGATGGACCCAGTGGACTTGTACTCCGTTGCTGTCCCTGAGAGGATAAAGTGAAGCTTGTCTCCTGAGAAGAGGTGGGTGGAGGGTGGAAGAAAGGGCATCGTCAGTCGGCCGAGGGGGAATGCCAAGGAGTCGTTCGCTCGCTCTGTTTATTGCGCCCAGGTTGTCTTACCTGAGTCCCCCTCCCTGCATATCAGCTCTTCGGGACCGTAGTCCTCTATCTTGACGTGATTACACAACTCATCCAAAGCAGCTTCCGGTATTGTGCAGCACAGTTGCTTGAGTCCTTCCGTCTCGTGGAAGAAGTTTTTGACCTTGGTCAACTCCTCTTCCGTCCTCTTGTGCGACAGCTTGAGCAAGATACTCTCCGTCCCCATAGCCACTGCCAAGTCCGAATTCCTACGAAACATAGAACTCGTCCTGCGTCCTGGACCCAAAGCAGAGCTCCTTCGCTTCTGTCTGTCTCGCCCATCGTCAAGGATGGGTATGTTCAGTGGCACCTCCATGCCTTCAAGGTCCTTGCTCCTCCTCCTCCGCCTGCGCTGACAGGACCCCACGCCACCAAAGGTGTCCGCCACCTGTGCTGTCCCTCCCTGGGCACCAGACCGTTGAAATCAAAATTTCGGTAGACGAACGAACGATTGGGGCGGAGGGGAGGGGAGGGGGAGGGAGGGGGAGGGAGGCCTTCCTTGGATCAGCATTGGCATTGGCATTCGCATTAGCAATCTTGCCTCCCAATGTCTCCCGTCTTGACTCTTGCTTCATCCACCACAAGCATAGAAAGAGAGAAAGAGAGACAGAGAAGACAGAGAGGGTGAATAGGATTAGGATTAGGATGAATGGATGATGATGATGATGATGAGGTGTCTTCCCTGACCATGTTCGC